AAAGTACTGCACCTGCCACGAAATCTGCACTTCAAGGTCCACAAAGTCTTGCGCCTGCCACAAAATCTGCACTCCAAGCGCCACAAAGTACTACACCTGCCACGAAATCTGCACTTCAAGGCCCACAAAAAGTCCTGCGCCTGCCACAAACTCTGCACTCCAAGGCCCACAAAGTCCTGCACCGCAATGCACCCATTAGAAATAGACTGGTCCACCACATCTTTTTCCTGAGGAGATTCCCATCCAGGCACCTGCCGATGCTGCTACACCCATTCCAAACACTTCTCTGCTCTGAGCGCTCTGACAACGCCATGTAGGGCCTAACTTCGTGTGAACGCCGTGACTACTGCTACTGCTACCACTACTACTCCTACTACTCCTCCTCCTGCTGCTGCTGCGCTGCTGCTGGTGCTACTGCTACTACTACTACTACTACTACTACTACTACTACTACCCCAACCACCCTCAGTGGGCTAGAATATTTTATTTTTGATTCCCTTTTTATTTTTTTATTGATCCCCGTTGAATATTTTTTTGATTCTATTTTTACTTTTTTTTTTGATCCCTTACCCGTCAAACTTGTTACTAGTAGCTTCTTGTTATATACTATATAGTAGTAAGAATGCTTCTAGTAGCGATGCCAGGACCCCTAGTAGCATCCTTGCTCCTAGTAGTAAGGCCAGAAGCCCCTAGTAGCTCCTATTAGAATCTCGTTACTAGTAGTAAGGGCAGGAGCGCCCCTAGTAGCTTCCTTGTCGGGGGCATCTTGGTCTGAAGATCTTGGTCTGAGCAAGAATGGATTCACCAGCTCCTGGTGGCCAGACTGTGTCGGCGTCGAACATTTCAGGGCTAATTCCTCATGTTCGAGTGCCCTTTAATGACTCCATGGCGCTTTGTAGTTACTTTGAGGGCGAAGCGAGCCATTCCTGTTTGATTTCTTTTTGCAAAATGTCCAGGATGTAGTAGCTGCACTGCTTCACGGGAAGGCTGATGCTTTGGCAGTCACAGGCATGCTGCCCAGATGTGTTTGGTTTTGGACTCAGATCTGAACAATTGACAGAAGCATGGTTTCTCGGGTTGTCATCGCATGTCATTGCCATCATTGGTAACAATGTGACCAAGAACATACATGTTGCATCAATTTACTCCTGGTAGATGCATTTCAATCGCTCTTCCGAGTGTTTGCCAGGTCGAGGAGAAACTCCAGTTCAGCTTGCCACGCGCATGGGCCACGTGGAGGTAGTCAAGGCTTGACTTCCAAAGCCAAATGGACGAGGTATGCCTTGAATAACTTCTGCAGTCTATGCCGCGTGCTATACTTGCAGTTGGAGTTAGCACTTATTTTGGTGCTCACCAGTCTCGCTCTGCAGAAGCTGGCTGTTTTGTACCGGTTTGAGATGGTTTGAGCTTTGATTTTAACCACCTTGATTAACCATTCCATCCTTTTTGGTTCATAATCAGACCCTTGTTGGATTCCAGCGAAAGCGGCATACTATCTCACTGCCCTACGAGTCCATAGATGTTCAGTGACAGTATGAACAAGACTCAGACTTTGATCTACTTTTGCCACCAATGCATGGTCGCCTTGTTCAACCAGAATGGTCGCGGGCGTCACGAGGTTTTGCGCGCTGCTGGAGCGGCTCCGCAGAATGCCTGGTCCCGAAGAGCTCAGAGCTCCCAAGAACGGGTCTCCAGTGCCATGGTAATTTTTCCTTTGTCCGCTTCAGCCCTTGTCCTCCAACTCAAACTATGCCACAAGCAACTCTCATGTCAACTTTATCCATCGCTGGGCCTGAGAATCATCATCTAAGGATCCCCTACGAATTGTGGGGAACAGAAAAGAGTCAGAGAGTTTCACCTTGCTCACCAAGCAGTCTGATGTGCTTCAAGGATAAGTGTTCATCACATTTGGTAGGTTTGTCCGTTTGTCATGAAAGAAAAACAAGGTTTTTCTGCTGGACAAGTTGAGTGGCAGCTAGGGTGGGCAAAGAGGA